GTGTTTGTGTGTGTGTAATTTTATATGCATGTGAATATACATGAACATATTTTATAGTAAACATGACATACACCTCTGTGAAGGCCGAAATCTCCTAGAGCTCTTTCTTTTACATGCTTAAGTATTTGGTAAGATAGGTTTGATTTAGCTTTTACTCTGATTTTTTCCCCCCCATCAAAATAGTTGAATTTTGTAAGGTTGACTATCTTTCATGCTTTCAAATCTAGATTATGGTGATCTCTCTTTCATATCTCTAATTGAAAAGCAGTAGCTACTTGTATAATAGATAGATCATTGCTCCAGATTATGGCAATAATCTGTAGTTGCAATCACTGCATATAGTTGATTTATTATATTGTGTAATGAAAGTGTTCATATGTAAAATAGAGGAATTGAATGATAATAATAACCAAGAATATGGAGCCTCTTACCAGAATGGATACCCATTTCATTTTTAGCTGGTTGCCAGTCATGAGTTGGTTAACAGGCTAAACTTGTATTCACTACATGGCATTAAGGATAAAGGTATACATAATTCTGTTTCTCTTGATTTGTAATACTAATCTGTTGATTTCATAATTTTAACTTTGTGAATATTGATAGTATTTGAAAAACAATCAGGGCCTTACTCGTGATTTTGTATACTTGCAGGCCCTGGTGGCAACATGAGCTATTTGCCTCCATGGCACCAACCTCAGGGGGAGGACACTACCCACACACATGCTGCCTCCACATCCTTCCACGTCGTCTTCACACTCGCCACAGACGACTCATAGCACAACACAGGCCAACACGTCTGCATCTGTGTACCAGAACCTTTCCCCAGTAGTGAAGAGTGTCCCGCCAGCAAGTGTTTCCATCATTCAGTCAAATACCACTTCTAAGCCATCTACTGTATCTTCCGCTGGGTCAACAGCTACAACAACTTCCTCATCTACATCGTCGTTATCCATTGATGATCCCTATGAGCCTCAAGGTTTCAGCGTTCAGAATCTCCGCCTCGAAGCGGCCAAATTGGGAGATGCAGTCAAGACTGAGAACCAACACAAGAGACTCTCCAGTTCAAGACATGATCCTAGGACTTGCAGGGCCAAGCACCCTTGATCTTAAGACTGGGATGAGGAAGTAAGTTCAAAGTTTTTATCTGACAGTTTTCATCACTTGTTCCATTCATTCCAAGAATTGTGATACTTATTTGCCATAAAATTGAATGTACATGTGACCAATATTTCATTCATATTGACTGCTGCAAATATCCACACCTGATACTGAAGATTATCACAAAATGCAAGTTTGCTCTTTGGTCCTGTCAGGTCCCCGGGGAAATACCCTGCACCGGAGCAGCTGCCCGGCCCTGTTATGTTTTCCTACCAGGGCAGAGGGAGGCCTCGGAAAAATTGGACCCATGCAACGGTTAGTTTATGGGCGTGTTTTTTTTTTTTTTTTTTTTTTTTCTCTCTCTTTTTTTCAGTTACTTTATCTGCTGATTTGATGTAGTCTTATGTTATTTTATTTTTATTTATTTTTTCTGTTACTTTGTTTGTCTTATTTCTTCTTATTGATATTATTTTTGTTATTATTATTATAGTAGTAGTAGTGGCAGTATTATAATTTGATTATGAACGTGATTATCATTATGAATTATTACTGTTATCTTTATTATTGTCATTTTTATCATTGTTATTGTTATTATCATTATCATTATTATTATTATTATTATTATTATTATTATTATTATTATATTATTATTATTAATGTTGTTATTATTGTTCATTTTCACTTTTTTCCCTTTTGTTATTGTTGATTTTTATTCATTTATATTTTTCCCTTGAATTGAATTATGATAACAAATATTAATACATCAGTTAGCTCACAGATGCAATACATACAGATAAATTTGATACATACTCTTATGGTATTTTATAAACATGCTCCCAGGTGATCAGATCTGCATACACAGGGTGGCCACACAGACACGCAAAAGCAGGTGTACATAAATACCTACACAGATGGACACAAAATACATAGGGAGATTCACCATACTCTTACAGACGCCTCATATGTACACAGTTGTGTTATGTACAAATCATGTAATACAATATGTAGAAATATACAAGCAGCAACAAATATAAACACAGCCATACATAATGCAGCCATATACACACAAACACAAACATACGCACAAACACACTCAAACACAAAAATACACCCAAACATATGCACAAACACACCCAACATACGCACAACACACCCAACACGCACAAACACACCCAAACATATGCACAAACACACCCAAACATACGCACAAACATGCAAAAGCAGGTGTACATAAATACCTACACAGATGGACACAAAATACGTAGGGAGATTCACCATACTCTTACAGACGCCTCATATGTACACAGTTGTGTATGTACAAATACATGTATATACAATATGTAGAAATATACAAGCAGCAACAAATATAAACACAGCCATACATATATGCAGCCATATACACACAAACACAAACATATGCACAAACACACTCAAACACAAAAATACACCCAAACATATGCACAAACACACCCAAACATATGCACAAACACACCCAACATACATACAAACACACCCAAACATACATACAAACACACCCAAACATACATACAAACACACCCAAACATACATACAAACAACCAAACATACAAACACCCAAACATATGCACAAACACACCCAAACATATGCACAAACACACCCAAACATATGCACAAACACACCCAAACATATGCACAAACACACCCAAACATATGCACAAACACACCCAAACATATGCACAAACACACCCAAACATATGCACAAACACACCAAAACATGCACAAACACACCCAACATATGCACAAACACCCAAACATATGCACAAACACACCCAAACATATGCTCAAACACACCCAAACATATGCACAAAAACACCCAAACATGCACAAACACACCAAAACATATGCACAAACACACCAAACATATGCACAAACAACACCTAAACATATGCACAAAACACACCCAAACATATGCACAAACACACCCAAACATGCCAAACACACCCAAACATGCACAAACACACCCAAACATATGCACAAACACCCAATTATACGCACGAACACACCTAAATATATGCACAAAAACCCCCAAATATACACACAAACACACCCAAACATATGCACAAACACACCCAAACACGCACAAACACACCTAAACATATGTACACAACCACCAAACATACGCACAAACACACCCAAACATACGCACAAACACACCCAAACATACGCACAAACACACCCAAACATATGCACAAACACACCCAAACATAC